AAACGTCAATATAATAAAAATAATAAATGTATAATGTTATGAAATTGAAGCTATTTAGTCTAAACATTTATGTTTTTGTGTTATAATTTGTTGTCATTCTAGAAAGAAAGAGGCATAATTTATATTTATTTCCTGATTTTTTTATGGTGGTTACAAGATCAGTCAAATCTATTGAACCCATACAGAAATTCCTTAGTGAAAATAACAGGTAAAATGTAAAGTTTTTTCTTAAGAAATGTTTGATAACTATCTGGACATTATAAGGATTATACATGTGAAATTTTTCTGTTGCATAAACGTATTTTTAATCTTAAAATGAAAATTACTTTGCATGTTAGATAGACAAAATGTGAAAAGAAAAAAAAAAAAGCACGAGAAAAACATTGCTTTACAAACCTTAAGACTTAATAAAACAATTTGATATTTTATATATAAAAGCATTGTAATGTTTACTTAAAATCTGCCAAATTTCATTAACATACGCCTGCTAATTTAAAAGTTATATCATGAAAACTATAACAAGCACAAAATGGTTAGGAGCTCAGTCCTAGGTACCAAGCCCATGCTGAAAGAGTTAAACACATAACCAACATGTAAATTTTCCCCTATTAAAAATGAAGACGTTAAAAATAGAATCAGAAAAAATATTTTGGAAAAATCGTCATGTTAAGAAACAGCAAAACAACCAATGATTTACTACAATATCTTTTCTGTCACTTACTTTGTAGTAATTTGCACGTTTTGTGACCCAGTTTCTTATTTCCATTAAGTTTCACTGCCCTAGAAAGCTTCATGTTGGATGCTCTGTACATTAAGCCACCAATAATTACCATTTTTGTTTGGTTCTTTCTTGAAATCTGTTGGTGATCTGGTTTTCTATACACGAAGCAAAAAACATTATACAATATTTATAATTAGTTTTATACAAGTTCATATACATATAAAGTGTGCAGATGTTATTAAATGAATTTGTGTTATACTTCACTCACCTATTCTAGCCATCTTTGCCCAATAAATATTGCTAAGATCCTACAGTACAGATATATATGGACATACACACACACACACACACAAAACTAAATTTAAAAGAATGAACAAATAATTAACAGTAAGCAATAGTTATTTAAATCAACCAATAATCTGGTACAAAAAATTATGAATTTCAGCATACGTTATTTTCAACATAAATGGCAAGGTCAGATATTCCTAATGTTCAGGCAAAACCAATAATTTAAAACTGTTGATCTAGGGAAGGGCAGTTAGTCAGCAACACCTGCCACCTGCAAGGTTACTATTAATCACATAGCAGGATTGACTATTATCTATAGTGCCACTGCAGATGAAAGTGTGAAGCATGCTCAGAAGCATATAATGGCTCAAATCTTGAACCCTCTGAGCCATAACCAAGCATGCTGACCACTAGGCTACAACCATTTATGGAATTCACAGTTGCTAAACAAGAATTAAAAATTATTAAGATAATTATATGCATATAATTAAACTTACCATACTTAATAAGAGTAATGTTAACCTGATTTTGCTTAGAACTTCTGTGTTTAACTACTGGTTGCCCAGCAGCCTTATTTTATAATAGAAACATTTTGGTGGGAAAGCCAACAAGTTACATTTTTTCCTAATGGTAGTAATATTCTTATTTTAACTTATCACAAAATAAGCATTTAACAAAATCACAGCTACTAAGCTTAATTTTCCATAAAGCTTAACTTTTATTAAACCAACTATAGCCAGATGTTCTCAGGTAAGATAGTATATGGTAATTAGTGATCACTTACCCAAGAAAATTTTCATGTTAGGTTACTGATCCTTTAATTAGTGTTCACCTCTCTGTTAAATGGCAATGTTTCATAAAATACTTTTAATGTAGACAATCTGCTGCTACAACATTTGCTCAATATGTCTGGTACCTACTCACATCATTCAGTGAAAGCATGCTTTGGTGAGCCCTTTCAAAGTTATTGTCTACTTGAGGAATGTGTTTTAAAGCGATTCATCAATACATGTACATATTACTATGTTGAACAACCGTTATATGCTTATCAACATAGGCTCTATTTGATAAGTTGTGTGTACGTCAGGTATGCTTTGGTTATAATAGTGAATTAATTCCTACCATACAGTGCTTAAACACAACCAGAGTTAATATAAACATTGTCCATTTGCCATTTCTTCCAAACAAACTGTGTACAATGTTAAAAAGACAAATAAAACATATAATTTATTGTTACTACTCCAAAGTTGATTTCAGATTAGCTTTTAAACCAACTCATGCATACAGGATTTTTCCCATACTAAAGACCTTCTCCCAATTTCTCTTTGTATATCTTTACATGTGTGGAGATTGTAAGGCCTTCCAAGTTGGCAAAACCAACTGCCACATACTAGTTAGAAACTAATGAGCATAAGGGAATTTCCATGAAAAAAAAAAAGGAAAAAAGTAAATCCTGTGTATCCTATATAGGCCCGCATTGTGATGAAACAGGACACAAACAATTTACTGATTAAAGAAACTCTCCACATCAAACAACTTTTACCAATACTAAAAATAACATAGTCTTCTTTTAAATTGCACATATTTTAATATGTATAGTATTTTTGTTTTTTATTCCTTCACTTTCTACGTGTTTTAGTTTTGATTAAATTATCATTATTGCAGCAATGTATTTTAGTTATTTACTTAGAAATGATGTAATCCTTTTATTTTGCTTGAGATACTGATGATAGAATCTGTAGAATTCTGAAAAGTTTATCTGTATCCCTTTCTGTTATAAACACACGTGTTGTTTATCTTAAGTATCATTACCCTTTTTACTAGTCTTGATGTAATGGCACATGTTGCACTGTGAACTTGTACAGCAACTAAATTTAAAACAATTTTCTTTTACTTTTGATCAGTATACAGGGTTGGTAAGAATACCTTCAGGTAACTGGACTTGTCTCAGCTTAATACTAGAAATAAACAACTTTATAACACCAAAATGTTGTTTTTATTTAATTAAACACTCAACATTTTGCTTTACAGCTTCTTCAGGAATGTTCACTAAAATGCAAACCGAAACTGATAGTACAAAGCTTCAAATGGTTTAAATAATAACTTCTATTCAAATCTATATGCTAGGGGTAAAAATAGGGAATGCACAACACACATGGGAAATGATAGAAAAAAAAAAAAGTCAGACAGAGATCTAATCAGTGGTCAAAGATCACTGGTTTCATGATTAGATTTATTCCACTAGGTTGAAAGCTGTTGAAAAGTGGCAGTCCAATAGGATTTGTTTTTGAACAAAACCTTTCAAATCTCATTATGTCTAAAATTCTTATTTTCCTGTCATGTTCCACAACAGAAATCAATCACACTTGCAACTATCCTTTGACAGCTGTTAATAACACTTTCAGGTTATCATGGTGCTCTACCATGATGTTACTCCAACTTTTCTCCCTTCACTTTACTTAGTCATTCCCAGTTTGTCCCTGATGAAGAAAAGCTCATCTTTTGAAAGCACTTGGGTAAATACAGTTTTGTATTTTTGTCCATAACTGATTTTTTGAACCTACATGTCATCCTAACATAATGAATTAATACCCATTAATTGCTCAGCTCTATTAATAAGCCAAACTACTCTGGGGATTTTTTTTAATGTTATTACTTTATTGTAGTTCTATCTCTGGCAACTCAAATGGAAATACATTTTTAATTTGTTCTACCTAACTGACCATAAAGCAAGGGTATGTAAACTATCTCATCCAACACCTGAGACAATAAGTTTACTGTTATCCTTTACTAAATAGACAAATAGTTCATTTTTTTAACATTGTTCATTCTATTCCTAGAAACACACACTAGGTAGATTTCTAGAGAGCCATGCAAATTCCTAAAAATTCTGAATGGCACACAAACTTTTAAAAATGCACACCTCTAAATCTGAAACCAAAACTATATACACAAATATACACATATCCCTTTAATTCACAAGCAAACAACTAATAAACATATTTAAATTAATGCAACAATATTATTATATTGCTTTCGTCCACACTAGGAGACCAGTAAAGTTTCAATTTTCATGTTTTTATCCTTTCTAAGTAAAGTTAGTGATAAAACAGTTTATGTTATGTATTTCTTTATCTCAGTCACATTAATTATGCATATGACTAAAATTGTACTTTAAGAGATTGCAACATCATAATTTTTGTGGTCAACTTGAAGGATATAAGAAGTGTTTAACAGTGTTTCCTCAGCATGAAAATTTGTCAAGTTTTAACAGTCAGTGCTACCTTAACAACTTTTGTATGAATTAGCATATATAAATAGTGTTCCAAACAGTGTTGTGTTTGTAGTACCCCAGCCGATCTGAGGAACTTTGGATTCATCAAGATGTGATGTCCTCCACCATTGATATGACAAATAGTTTGGTAAGTATAATATTTTCAAATTCTTCAGATTTGAAAGGTACTAGGTAAAGAATGTAGTGTTTAAAATCATAGTAAAGTAATTGCATTGTTTTATGAAGGATATAAATATAGTCTTTCTTCTCAGGTTTGTAGAAGTCATGTACACACCATATCAATTGGTTTTCTTTCAAGAGGCTTATTTAAAAAGGAAAGATACAAGAAAAGACATAAAACCATAATTAACCATAGATAAAACATAAAAATATTGTTACAGACAGAAAAATTTAAAATGACAGTCAACTGAAGAAACTTAGTAATTGGTAGAGAAAACATGTGGAATGATAGTGAACTGTAGAAATCACATAAGAAAAAGATAGTTACCTGTAAAAACATACTAAATGATATACAGACACAAAAGGTTAATTAGCTGTAAAAACACTTAAAACCTTACTTAGCCATCACAAACAAAAGAATGTATAAAAAGCACTAAAAAATGTCTGTTAGGTAGAGAAAACAAGCAAAATGACTTAACTCTCTTACAACGGGTATCCTTTACTGCGCATGTCACAAGGTTTTAGTACTTACATTTAAAATTTTATTAAACTACTTTTTTGTATTAGTATAGCATAAAATCTTAGTTTATAATCCATATTTTAAGAGAACAAGTTTTAACTTCTTAATTCTATAAGGCAATATTTAAAAAATCCTGAATTTCCCCAAGTGTGACACATGTTATCTAGGTATCTTCTCACCTCTTTTTTACCCCCCCCCCCAGAAACTATGAAATTGAATGTGAATTACTCACTAGAAAATCGTCATTGCCTTCAATTCTGGTCACAGAGTTATCAAATAGAAAATCAGACCCTTCCTGCCACATCCTCTCTTTCAGTATTTGTTAATATTTCTCTCTTACATTTAATTATATATCACCTATAACCAATAGAAAGTCAAGCTTTTCATCTATCAAATGACGTATAACATTGTGTTCTGAACACAGAATAGTCACTTCATTTCTAATACAACTTTGGATCCCACAAGAATAAAAACGGCTTGCTTGGATGCATTTGTAACAGCTCTTGTCACATAGTTAGAAAGCCAGAAAAATTGTGATTGTTAGAGAAAACTGTCTGCTTCTTAGCATGTTATTAGTCTTTATTTCTTGTTTTTCATGTTAATTCCTTATTTATTATTATAAAAGTAACTAAAATGTAAAAATATAGATCTCTTTAGGTTAGTCACAGTTAGATTAGGTAAAATAAACAACAATAATAATATACTTCACAAGGCACGCATGTGAGCATCTTGGATTAGCTCATGGGTAATGTAATTTCATAGCATAACGTGAGCTGCACATTCCCCAAGTGATTTACAACTTATAATGGCATGAATAGTAGTTAGACAAAAAATTAAATTATTAACAGATGTACACTATGACAAGTTTAAAGCTACTTAGGATAAACAAATTTAGTTTCATGCTACATCTGAAGTCATTGTAGAAAGAAAAGGATAGTAATTTAGATTTATTTCAATTTCTTTTTCTGGTGGTTACGAAGTCAGTCAAATTGACCAACCTTGTATAGAGTTGGGGTAGAGAAAATAACAGATAAAATATAAAGTTTTACTAAAAACAATACATTTGAAATGTATTTAGAAGGTTTTAGAGATTACACAAATGAAATTTGAGATTTTTGAGATGAAGAAAAGTATTTTTCATACTAAATTGAAAATCACTTTGCACACAAGCTATTCAAAACAAAAATACTCAATATATTCACGGACAAATATTTTTTTTAGGTTATTTAAAACATTTCACTAAAAATATGTGAAATATTTTTTGTATGTGAAAGGCTTATAATGTTACCAAAAGACTGACAAATTTTGTGAAGATATATACACTATATCAAACATTAGTAGAATCAAATCTATAAAAATTTTATACGAGTACAAAAAAGGTCATGCAGGCAGTCAAATTGACCAAGCCCACATGAAGAGAGTTAAAAGACACAAAAAACGATAGCTAGCCATAATGTAGAATATGAAAGACAACATACCGAGTAATTTACAAATCATCTAAAATGACATCTACATGAAACATTACTTACCCACAGAAGACATATCAAGTGTATGGAAAACACATGAAACGGTACTTGCAAAACAAGATAGAAAATAAGAAAAATGGTATATAAGGATACAATATATGATACAAGGTCAGTAACATTTGACAGTTAAGTATGAAAATGAAATAAAAAGTGCAAACCAATATAAGATCACGTGAAACAATAGTTATCTGAAGATAATGGTTATCTTATGTAAAAAAACATTTAAAACAAAGTTTAACCATAGATATGATACTTAATGTTAGACGACCTGTAGAGGAATAAATTCTAGAAATATGTTTATAACAGAAATTAAAGGTTGGTATGAATCTTATAATGTTTGGCATGTTTATATCGATCACTCTCCTTCTACACGTATTTTACAGCTATCTATGGTTTCACATATTTTATGTGAAATACTATATATTTTCTTTACCAAACTAACGGTTTTTGTGTTATCTATATAGTTTTGTTTCTTTTCGACAGCTAACTGATGCTTCATATGTTTCCTATATCAGTTGGTAGTTCTAAACAACAAAATATAATTTTATGCATTTTCTACATTGTTTGGAAAGTTTTATACTTTAACTATTGTTGATGTGATTTCTTTATCTAGTTATTGTTTAATATGTATTCTACATTTGTTGTTTTTCCTACTGCTATTTATCATTTGGCTTCCTTTCTCTACATACTAATGTTTTCATTTTTTCTCCGTGCTTTTGTTTTTTTCAACAGTTATCTAATGTTTTCTGTAAGTGATTTGGTATGTTTTGTACTTGTGTCTATTTGTGTTGGTTCTTAAACTACTGTTTTTTTTACACTTTCCATAGCTAACCACCGATTTACACGTTTTGTATATTGTTTGGTATGTCTAATAAAGCTAACTATAGTTTGATGAAATTTCTATATATACATCTAGCTATCATCTGAAGTGGTTTCTATATATTTTAATACTTTTTTTCCCTCTTATTTAACCTTTTGCTGGTTTCTCTACACATTAACATTTTCATGTTTTCTATATAGTTTGATGTGATTCTCTATCCAGCTATCATTTAACATCTTCTCTATCATTTGACATTTTTTCTAGTGTTATTTATCAGTTTACTTACTTCATGTAGACACTAACATTTTCACATTTTCGATATGCTTTTGTTTGTTTTTGACAGCTATCTAACGACTTCTGGTTTTCTACTTGACTTGGCATGTTTCGTACTTGTGTCTATTTGTTTTTGGCCACAATATTTTTGTTTTCTTTCCATAGCTAACCATTAATTTACATGTTTTCTGTATTGTTTTTTGAATTTTATATAATATTTGGCATGTTCTCTAGAACAAACTATTGTTTGGTATGTTTTATACAATTTGATGTGATTTCTATATCTACCTATCACTTAATGTTTTTTTTCTTACTGCTTTCTTATCATTTCGTTTTCTTTCTCTAATGTTTAATTTTTTCTATGTGCTTTTGTTTGTTTTTGACAGCTATCTAATGTTTTCTGTTTTTATAAGTGATCTGGCATGTTTAAAACAAAATAACATCTTTAGGTTTTATATATGCATTTTAAAACAACAACAAAAATCATAAATTACTATATCAATATCACAGAATTCCACTACAATTTATCAAGCTTTGTAAATTAGTTGCTTTGGGTCTAAAAAATATGAATTTTCGAGCTCACAAGTGTCTTACACCTTACCAGTAGGATTCTAGCATGAAAAGAAAGTTTCCCATGCAAATACTTTGCAGAGACTGAAAAAAACCACTAAGGAGACATTCTGAGATTCTCATTGGTTATACACACACACACATCATTATACATTCCTAAAATAACAGTTCAATAAAATTTTGAATGTGAGTCTACAATTAGACATAGCCTTTGACCTATGTCCACAGAAAGACTCGTCTCGGTAGGGTTAAGCATTGCAATATACCAACTCAGTCTAGGCCTAACAGCCTAATATTCAACAAAACTGGTAGTAAAATCTGAGAACAATGCATCCCTCACTGATCACATGTCTACTGATGTCACTATAGCAAGCCATAAGGGTGTCATTTATATTAATCATAATATAAATTTGCAAGTTACATTAATGTTGCTTACATTTTAAATTTTTTTCTCTAGTTACTACAATAATAGCCAAAATGTAGATTACTAGCTTTCCTTAAAAACTAGAACTTTTGTGAACTTATGGAGTCACCTAATACATCCTGAAAGATCTCTTCGAGACAGAGAAGTCCAAATGGTTGCCAAGAAAATGCAGTATACACCATTCTCAAAAAACTAAGTTGCCACTGGTACTGTATTGATTGTTATATGAAAGCAAAATCCTAATTTTTTAATTATTTTATTATTATTATTTGGTTGTGGAGGGGACAAGTGGAATTTTAGGGAGAATTAGCTTTTTCTAGCATTTTATCCTTTGAACAAGAAATTTTTCAAAAATTACACTTATGAAGACCCTCCAACATCTAAACTAACTTGTCAGTTGATGTTATTTTTTTCTAGATAAAGTCAGATTCTAATTTTGATGTTATATTCAATCAGTTGTTAGTAATATATTTCAAAGCATATAAACTTGAAATGCATACTTTTTATTCTCACTGTTTTAAAGATAATCCTTGAAAATGTTATAGGTTACAGTTTGTAAACAAAATGATCAAAATGTTTACAGTCAAACTTTGTAAGCTGTAGTTGCAATTTAAAACTGGTATTAACAATTTTGATATTTATATTTTCTGGTGATCAATCAAATAGGTCACTGGTAT